GGGCGCCGTGTCCTCAGAGGGCGCTCCGGTCTGATGGGCGCCGTGTCCTCAGAGGGCGCTCCGGTCTGATGGGCGCCGTGTCCTCAGAGGGCGCTCCGGTCTGATGGGCGCCGTGTCCTCAGAGGGCGCTCCGGTCTGATGGGCGCCGTGTCCTCAGAGGGCGCTCCGGTCTGATGGGCGCCGTGTCCTCAGAGGGCGCTCCGGTCTGATGGGCGCCGTGTCCTCAGAGGGCGCTCCGGTCTGATGGGCGCCGTGTCCTCAGAGGGCGCTCCGGTCTGATGGGCGCCGTGTCCTCAGAGGGCGCTCCGGTCTGATGGGCGCAGTGTCCCCAGAGGGCGCTTAGGTCAGATGAGCGCAGTGTCCTCAGAGGGCGCTCCGGTCTGAGGGGGCGCAGTGTCCTCAGAGGGCGGTCGGGTCAGATGAGCGCAGTGTCCTCAGAGGGCGGTCGGGTCTGATGGGTGCGGTGTCCTCAGAGGGCGCTCCGGTCTGAGGGGGCACAGTGTCCTCAGAGGGCGGTCGGGTCAGATGAGCGCAGTGTCCTCAGAGGGCGCTCCGGTCTGAGGGGGCACAGTGTCCTCAGAGGGCGGTCGGGTCAGATGAGCGCAGTGTCCTCAGAGGGCGCTCCGGTCTGAGGGGGCACAGTGTCCTCAGAGGGCGGTCGGGTCAGATGAGCGCAGTGTCCTCAGAGGGCGCTCCGGTCTGAGGGGGCACAGTGTCCTCAGAGGGCGGTCGGGTCAGATGAGCGCAGTGTCCTCAGAGGGCGCTCCGGTCTGAGGGGGCACAGTGTCCTCAGAGGGCGGTCGGGTCAGATGAGCGCAGTGTCCTCAGAGGGCGCTCCGGTCTGAGGGGGCACAGTGTCCTCAGAGGGCGGTCGGGTCAGATGAGCGCAGTGTCCTCAGAGGGCGCTCCGGTCTGAGGGGGCACAGTGTCCTCAGAGGGCGGTCGGGTCAGATGAGCGCAGTGTCCTCAGAGGGCGCTCCGGTCTGAGGGGGCACAGTGTCCTCAGAGGGCGGTCGGGTCAGATGAGCGCAGTGTCCTCAGAGGGCGCTCCGGTCTGAGGGGGCACAGTGTCCTCAGAGGGCGGTCGGGTCAGATGAGCGCAGTGTCCTCAGAGGGCGCTCCGGTCTGAGGGGGCACAGTGTCCTCAGAGGGCGGTCGGGTCAGATGAGCGCAGTGTCCTCAGAGGGCGCTCCGGTCTGAGGGGGCACAGTGTCCTCAGAGGGCGGTCGGGTCAGATGAGCGCAGTGTCCTCAGAGGGCGCTCCGGTCTGAGGGGGCACAGTGTCCTCAGAGGGCGGTCGGGTCAGATGAGCGCAGTGTCCTCAGAGGGCGCTCCGGTCTGAGGGGGCACAGTGTCCTCAGAGGGCGGTCGGGTCAGATGAGCGCAGTGTCCTCAGAGGGCGCTCCGGTCTGAGGGGGCACAGTGTCCTCAGAGGGCGGTCGGGTCAGATGAGCGCAGTGTCCTCAGAGGGCGCTCCGGTCTGAGGGGGCACAGTGTCCTCAGAGGGCGGTCGGGTCAGATGAGCGCAGTGTCCTCAGAGGGCGCTCCGGTCTGAGGGGGCACAGTGTCCTCAGAGGGCGGTCGGGTCAGATGAGCGCAGTGTCCTCAGAGGGCGCTCCGGTCTGAGGGGGCACAGTGTCCTCAGAGGGCGGTCGGGTCAGATGAGCGCAGTGTCCTCAGAGGGCGCTCCGGTCTGAGGGGGCACAGTGTCCTCAGAGGGCGGTCGGGTCAGATGAGCGCAGTGTCCTCAGAGGGCGCTCCGGTCTGAGGGGGCACAGTGTCCTCAGAGGGCGGTCGGGTCAGATGAGCGCAGTGTCCTCAGAGGGCGCTCCGGTCTGAGGGGGCACAGTGTCCTCAGAGGGCGGTCGGGTCAGATGAGCGCAGTGTCCTCAGAGGGCGCTCCGGTCTGAGGGGGCACAGTGTCCTCAGAGGGCGGTCGGGTCAGATGAGCGCAGTGTCCTCAGAGGGCGCTCCGGTCTGAGGGGGCACAGTGTCCTCAGAGGGCGGTCGGGTCAGATGAGCGCAGTGTCCTCAGAGGGCGCTCCGGTCTGAGGGGGCACAGTGTCCTCAGAGGGCGGTCGGGTCAGATGAGCGCAGTGTCCTCAGAGGGCGCTCCGGTCTGAGGGGGCACAGTGTCCTCAGAGGGCGGTCGGGTCAGATGAGCGCAGTGTCCTCAGAGGGCGCTCCGGTCTGAGGGGGCACAGTGTCCTCAGAGGGCGGTCGGGTCAGATGAGCGCAGTGTCCTCAGAGGGCGCTCCGGTCTGAGGGGGCACAGTGTCCTCAGAGGGCGGTCGGGTCAGATGAGCGCAGTGTCCTCAGAGGGCGCTCCGGTCTGAGGGGGCACAGTGTCCTCAGAGGGCGGTCGGGTCAGATGAGCGCAGTGTCCTCAGAGGGCGCTCCGGTCTGAGGGGGCACAGTGTCCTCAGAGGGCGGTCGGGTCAGATGAGCGCAGTGTCCTCAGAGGGCGCTCCGGTCTGAGGGGGCACAGTGTCCTCAGAGGGCGGTCGGGTCAGATGAGCGCAGTGTCCTCAGAGGGCGCTCCGGTCTGAGGGGGCGCAGTGTCCTCAGAGGGCGGTCGGGTCATATGGGCATGGTGTCCCCTGAGGGCGCTCTGGTCATATGGGCGCAGTGTCCTCAGAGGGCGATCCGGTCTGAGGGGGCGCAGTGTCCCCAGAGGGGGCTCCGTTCTGATGGGCGCCGTGTCCTTAGAGGGCGCTCGGGTCTGATGGGCGCAGTGTCCTCAGAGGGCGCTCCGGTCTGATGGGCGCAGTGTCCTCAGAGGGCGCTCCGGTCTGAGGGGGCGCAGTGTCCTCAGAGGGCGCTCCGGTCTGAGGGGGCGCAGTGTCCTCAGAAGGCGCTCCGGTCAGATGAGCGCAGTGTCCTCAGAGGGCGCTCCGGTCTGATGGGCGCAGTGTCCTCAGAGGGCGGTCGGGTCAGATTAGCGCGGTGTCCTCAGAGGGCGCTCCAGTCTGAGGGGGCGCAGTGTCCCCAGAGGGCGCTTAGGTCAGATGAGCGCAGTGTCCTCAGAGGGCGCTCCGGTCTGAGGGGGCGCAGTGTCCTCAGAGGGCGGTCGGGTCAGATTAGCGCAGTGTCCTCAGAGGGCGGTCCGATCATATGGGCGCAGTGTGACCTCTGACCTGCGATGAAACGTTTTCCAGGAATGGGGTGTTTATAGAAGAAATCTCTCTGGAATTTTTGGGCTTTTTTTAGGTTGCGCGACAAAAGTTTCCCTCTGAAGATGATCTGAGCGATGGCCGCCGGTACATCCGCACGTTTCCTTTTCCTGGAAGGATCGCTTTGATCTGCCGCTTGCGTAATTAAATGCCAAGTACTAATAAAAGATGTGGTCGGATCCGTCGCCATGGCAACAGCTACAGCTTGTCCTTGGCAACCAATCACACTTCTTGCTTCATGCCACTAGCCAATGAAAGATGAAACAGAACTGGTCGCTATGGGCAACAGCTACGCTTTGTCAGTAGCAGCCAATCACACTTTATTCGCAATGCAGGTGAATGAGCGATGAAGCAACAATGGTTGCTATAGGCAACATCTGCTCATTGTCCAATCACATTTCACTTACACAGAGGATAAAAAAGCAGAATTTGTTGCATCCAATTGCACTGCACTGTTCACGCTCCCAAAAAACAGCAGATGAAATAGCATTGGTTGCCATAGGCAACAACTGCACTTTGTGTATAGCTATCCATCACATTGCGTCACTCTTGATGACGAAAGGTGGAGGGGAATTAGTTGCCATCGCCACCAATCACAGTTCTTCTTTTGGCTTACCAGGGGATAAAAGATTGAGCAGGATTAGTTGCTATCGGCAACCTCTGTAACTTGTCATCGGCTACCATTTTTCACTGTCCTAAGGAATGACAGCTGAAGCAGAATCGGTTGCCATAGGCAACAACTGCACTTTGTGCATGTCCATCGATCACGCTGCGTCGCTCTACATCAGGGGTGGGCAACTGTTGCCCTCCAGCTGTGCTTTAACTACAAATCCCAGCATGCCTCTGGGAGTCATGCCTGTAAGTGTCAGTCCTGCCAAGCCTCATGGGACTTGTAGTTCCACAGCAGCCGTTCCAGATGGTGGAAAGTGGAGAGGAATAAGTTGCTATTGGCAACAGCTGCATTTATTTATTTTTGTCCCTAGCAAACAATGACATGACTTTTGTTTCACATTTCCCAAATAATAGAGAGGGAACAGAATAGGTTGCCGCGGGCAACTGTCGCAGGGCCCCCCAATCACGTGACTGCTTATGTGCCCCC